ACTCCAGTATTCTTGCCTGGGGAACCCCATGGACAGAGGAGCCTAGCAGGCTACAGTCCATGAGGTTGCAAAGAGTCGGACATGACTGAGTGACTAACACTTTCACTTGTCTTAATGCTCACAAGATGGCTGTTGAAGCTCCAGTCATCACATCTGCATTCCAGGCAGGAATAAAGAGAAGGACACAGGCAAGAGGGATGAGCAGTAAAATTTGACCTCTTGTAAAAGGCTCTACTAGAACCTTCAGTATATCTCATAAGCCAGCCTGCATCACATGGTAAGCCTTAAGTCATCCAGGGAATGAAGTTTTTTAGTTGACTACATTGCTGCTTGTTACAAGATCAATGTGCTATTAGTAAAGAAGAGGGGTAATGAATATTGGATAGGCGAAGTCTAGAGTTTGCTTCACAGGGCCTTGGAGGTCATGGTAAGGAATGTGGCCTTCAATCTGAGTGCAGCTGGGAAGCCGCAGAATGTTCTAAGCAGGACTGTGACAAGAAGGGGGAGACATTGAGGGTTGCCCCTTTGAGGCACAGCATCACACAACTGTGGACTTCTTTATTAGCCTCCTAGGGCTGCCATAGCCGAGTATCACAAACTGGGTGGCTTAAAACAATAGATATTATTCTCTCACAGTTTTGGCCAGAAATCTGAATCAAGGTGTCAGCAAGGTCACAGTCACTCTGGAGGTTAGGGTAGAATTCTTCCTTGCCTCCTCCTAGTTTCTGGTGGCCTCTGATAATCCTTGATGTTTCTTTGTAAACTGCATCACTCCAATCTCTGTCTTTGATGTCACATGGACTTCTTCCCTGTGTCCCTTCTGTGTTTCTGTATCTGAATCTTCCTCTCCTTTGTTTTGTAGCAATCATATAACAAGCCTGTCATTGGATTTAAGTCCAACCCTAATGCAGTAGAACCTCATCTTAACTTGACATCTGCCAAGACTCTTATTTCCATATATGGTCATATCCAAAGCACTGGGGGTTATGACTTAAACATAGCTTTATGAGGGACACAATTAAACCTTCTGTGCATTTGAAAGGACTAACTTGGTGGTTAGTCCACGAAGTCAAAGAGGGACTTCCTTGGTGGTCCAGTGGCTAAGACTCCCAACTTCTAATGTAAGGGGCCTGGTAGGGTTTGATCCCTGACCAGGGAACTAGATCCCACATGCCACAACTATGACCTGACACAATCAAATAAATTGATTAAATTAAATACATATTTTTTAAAAAGGACTAGAGAGCCACCTAGACCCTGCTTGGCTCTGTTGGCTGCTCATGTCCTCCTCCCCTACTTTTGATGAAAAGACAGCCCAGGAATTAGGGAGGCAAGTTTACTTCCAAAATCTTAACTGTGCCAGGCACTGGTCCCTCTTACTTCTATAAAAGGGCAAAAGGAAGGTTCTGGGCTCCCTGCACAGGCCTCGCCTCGCCTCAGCAAACCCTTCTCAGGTATCAAGGATTCAGGGATCTTGAGCCGTGGTGCAGAGGTGATTTTCGCCTGTCCTTCTGTGTCAGAGGCTTAGAGTTTGAGGCAGTGGGTGGAGGTTGGAGAGGATATCTAAATGGGGGGCTGAATAGCATCTAAACTAGGTTTCCTTTCTTCAGGCAAAATTTTAGGCCCACTGATGCTGTTTAATAAACCACTCCTTTGTTGGAACCTAGTGGAGAGAGGAATTGAGCGCTAGCTGTGTCTGTGGCAGGTGGTCGCAGCTGAGCCTGAATTGGCTTCAGAGTTGCGGTCCTGCAGACTTTCAGATGCACAGTGTTGGTCAGGGCCCCCTGTGGTTGTTCTTTGAGGTGGAATAAAATCCACTCACCACGTGATTCCCTGGAAGAATCTTGAGGGCCTTCGGACTCTTCTCTTGGGCACATTTGTTCATGTGTCTTTGCATGAGTTGGTGTGCAAGGGGCTTTCTTTCTTGGCAGTTTTTTTTTTTTTTTCTGGAGCTTCTTTATTTTTTAAAAAAATTGAAGTATAGTTAATTCACCAGGTTTCCCTGGTGGCTCAGATGGTAAAGAATCTGCCTACAATGCAGGATACCCAGATTCGATTCCTGGGTCAGGAAGATCCCCTGGAGAAGGGAATAAGAGAGGAGCCTGGCGGGCTACAGTTCATAGGATCGGAAAGAGTTGGACAGGACTGAAGCAACTTAGCATGCATGCATACATAGTTTATTTACAATGTTGTGTTAATTTCTGATATACAGTAAAGTGACTCAGTATTCTATATTCTTTTCTATTCTTTCTATATTCTTTTCCACTATGGTTTGTCTCAGGGTACTGAATAGAGTTCCCTCTGCATAGAGTTCCCTCTGCTATACGGTAGAACCTTGTTTATCCTTTCTATGTAAAATACTTTGCATCTGCTAATGTCAAACTCCCAGTCCATCCGTTCTGTACACCCCTTCCCGGTGGCAACCACAAGTCTGTTGTCTATGTCTATGAGTCTTCTTCGGTTTTGTAGATAGGTTCATTTGTGTCATATTTTAAATTCCACATATAAGTGATATCATATGGTATTTGTCTTTCTCTTTCTGACTTACTTCACTTATATGATAATCTCTAGTTGTATCCATGTTGCTGCAAATGGCATTATTTAATTCTTTTTTTTATGACTGAGTAGTATTTTGTTGTAAATATGTGCCACATCTTCTTTATCCAGTCATCTGTCAATGGACATTTAGGTTGTTTTCATCTCTTGGCTATTGAGAATAATGCTGCTATGAACATAGGAGTGCATGTTTATTTTTAAATTATAGTTTTGTCTAGATATATGCTCAGGAGTGGGATTGTTGGATCATACGACAATTCTAGTTTTAGTTTTCTGAGGGACCTCCATACTATTTTCCATAGTGGTATCAGGTAATTTTGGGGGTTGTTTTTTGCTTTTTTTTTTTTTTTTTGGTGGTCAAGGTGGGGACACCAGCAGATATGATTGGAGATAGGAAACTTGGAGACCCAAGGGGGAAAATATGACTTCTAGTCTTGGGCAGGGGGTGGGATGAGGGAAGAACCAGAAGCTGAAGGGGCTGCTTTCTTGAGGGAGGCTATGAGCACAGATATTCCAATACCTGCAGGCAAGCTGAGATGCAGTGCTTCCTCCTCTGGGCATCTTCTAGGACCTCAGGGTAGATGACCGTGGCAGCAGTGGGAGGCGTCAGGTTGGCCCCCTGCTCAGGAGGTTTCATGAGTAAAACCAGAAATTCAGCAAGCATGGGCCCAGGTGACTCTCACTAACAGTACCTGTGAGTCACCCTTTGAGGACTCCTGTGGGTGGTGGAGGCCCTCACTGGGCAAGTCGGGGGAGAATAGCAATAAGATGGTGATCTTTAAGCTGAACGTTGAAGAGGAGGGATCTGCCAACGGAGAAAGCAGAGCCACTCCAGGCAGGAAGATCAGCATATGCAAAGGCCTGAGTGACCAATGGTGGCCTGAGACTATTGGGGAGGTGGTCTGGTGAGTGGGTGCCCAAGGGTGCATAGGTGAAGCAGAGAGAGAGAAGTGAAGCTAGAGAGAGGGTGGGGCAGGCTCATGCTGGAACCTCCTATGCATGGCTGAGGTTTGGATTTTCACCTCTGGGCTAGTGGGACCCCCAGATGGCTTATGAGAAGAGGAGGGTGGCCTCGTGTGTTTCTGATTTGTTTAGATCTGCTTGATGTCTGTGCTAGGAATGGGTGGAGGGGCCGGCAGTCTAGAGGCTGCAGGGGAGGAACCAGGCAGAAGCCAAAGGAAGTCGTCGACCCCCCACCCTCACCCCCACACCCACCCCGCCTGGCCCCGTGTTTCTCCTGCTCATCTTCCCCCAGCCCTGCCCCAACCCCAGGCCCCAGAGAGTATCACTTGTCAGAAGAACAGAGTCTGCCTCCGGGCGGGTGGAGAGAGCAGGCGACCCTCAGCCCTGCTCATGCTGGGACCCGGGCAAGGGCTGGCTGGGCAGCTGGTGGCTTGGCAGGGAGAACATGGTTAGCTCTGCTGTGTCTGCAGCCACTGCCGCCCGACAGCCTGATTAATGACCTGCAACGCCCGGGGCTCTGCATGGGTCAGCAGCCCCACGGCTGTGGCAGCGGCCAAATGGACCTGCGTGCTGTGCCTCCGCCCCTGTCAGCTGCGCTCCCAGATGGGCTGAAATGCTTTGACATGGCCTCCTCTCCAGGCTCTTCCACTCTTTCTGCTGATTGTTTCCCAGCCTCCTTTAAATCCTGCCCCTAAATGCTCCCTTGCAGGAGAGGCTTGACAGAATTAACTCCCAGTCCTCTGGATTCTGGCTTATTCTTTATTTTGTCCCAATCAGGCACATAGTAAAGCTTAAAAATATGTCTTGAAGGCATCATTGCTGCTGCTTTCCCCATTCTCAACTCTGTAGTGACTCGTATGGGCCCTGTCTTATTTCTCTGCTAGAGGGTCTCTGTTTGGGTATTCCGTTTGCATGGGTCCCACCTCCTCCATCAGACTAGCAGTGCCCAAGATCAAGGATCTGCCTCCGTCTTTAGATGGGTAGCTTCCAAGATTCAGATTTTTCTTCTCTGTTAAATTGGGTGCTCCCCAGGGCAGGGGGCTGTGTCTGCCCCTCAGTCTGGGAGCTCTCTGAAGACAAGGCTTTGTTTGGGGCTGCCTTATCTGTTGCTCCTTCACGTCCCGAGTTGAGCTCTACCTTGGATGTGCTCTGGGGTGGGGGTGAGGTAGCAGGGAGCGGAACTCAGGGCTCTAGGAAAAACCCCCTGTCCTGTCCTGGAGATGGCAGAGTGGACCACAGGTATAGCAGGCATGGATTTAGCTGGAGCAGAGCTGTTGGGGATGTAGCTAGGGGGCAGGTACTGAGCTCTCCAGGGCCAACAGCATCCAAGGGGCTCCCAGGCCTAAACCAGCTCTTCTGGGCTATGGTCTGGGAGGACCATGAATTCTCTATCCAGACATCTGGATGGAGGAGGTGCAGAGGGTGGTTGCTAGCATCCTGTTTCCTCACCCTCCTGTGGGCTCTGTCTTGGATAATGCCAGGAGGACAACCACAGCTACTATATGTCTCGTCTGTATGGCCCCAGCGAGCCCCGCAGCCAGGAGCTGTGGGTGGATGTGACCAAGGCCAACCAGAGCCAAGTGAAAGTTCACAGAATCCTCTCCAACACCCACCGGCAGGCTTCGGTGAGTGCCCCAGTCCCTGGCAGCACTACCTTGGGCTGGGAGGCTGGGGGCCAGCCCACTCTGCCTGGTCAGTGGGCATGGCTATGGCCTGAGGTCTGGGGTCTGGGGAGTGCCTTCCCAGGGGATCCTAGGGGGCTTGACCAGAGTTGGGGTGCCCACCTGTGGTCCTGGGGGCCTGCCCTGGACATGCCTACCCCCCACCCCATCCAGATAAGCATGGGGCCGTGTGACTGCCCAGCCACCTGGCCTGCAGCTTGGCCCCACTGACTCTCTCCCGTCCCCTGCAGAGAGTGGTCTTGTCCTTTGATTTCCCTTTCTACGGGCATCCTCTGCGGCAGATCACCATAGCAACCGGAGGTAAGGCCTTGTCTGTGGGGCTGGGAGAGGGTATGGAGATTTCAGCCAGAACCTGGGACTTAGCTGGGAAGGTTCACGGGAGACAGGGTTTTATAGATGGACTGGGGTGGGTCCCACATTGTGGCTCTCTCTTGGGGCCCCACTCTCAGGCGAGAGGTCATGAGTGTTTCGGACCGCCTCCCTCACGTCTGCTGACTTAATTGTGTGTGTGTGTGTGTGTGTGTGTGTGTGGATGTGTGTGGATGTGGGTGCACATGCATGTGTGTCTCCCTCTGGGTCAGCACAGGCCAATGTAGGCTGTCCCTCGGCCCTTGTGCTTCTGAGTCTGTGAATGACAGGGAGGAGACTGCACTGAGAGCCTGTCTCCTGGAACCAGGCTCCCTGTTGATATGAGGGAGCCCATCTTGGATTCCTGTGCACTTCCAAGGGACAGAGATGGGTGGAGGGGCAGAGAGAAACTTCTTTAGTCTGGGCTCCTTTTGCTCTATATACACCAGACCCATGCCCACCATGTGATGCTGGGGGGTCAGAGGTCCAAGACTCACTTCCAGCTCCATCTGCATTACTCCTTCCTGCACGAGGAAGCAAGTCCATCTCTGATGATTCATCTACACTTCTTCCCACCCCAGGCTTCATCTTCATGGGTGACGTGGTCCATCGGATGCTCACAGCTACTCAGTACGTGGCCCCTCTGATGGCCAACTTCAACCCTGGCTACTCTGACAACTCCACAGTTGCTTATTTTGACAATGGTGAGATCAGAGCTCAGAGTTTAATTCATCCAGCTCTGGGGATGCCTTGGTCTAGCCCCTTTAGAGGCGCCCAAGGCCCAGAGAGGGCAAGGGACTTGCCCACAGTCACACAGCATGGCAGCTACCCTACCTTTGTGTTCATTTTCCTCCCTGGGGACAAAATGCCTGCTCCCTGATGAGAAAATCAAATGAAAACAATTGGCTCTCAGTAGAGGTGAAATAAATATTAGAGACCTTGATTGTTTCTTACTCTCCCCAGGTTGTCCCTTGAGAACCTACCTTCCACCCCAGGAGAACAGAAGTTTCTACTGTTTCTCTTCTTTTTCATCTCAGGGGGTCAGGATAGGCAAGAAGGACAGGGCAGTGCTTGGGGTTGGAGATGGTACAGGTACAATCACAGTACCTGGTTGGGGGCAGGGAGGGTGAAGCAGGGTCTCCTGGCTCCTCTCCAGCTTGAGAGCCAGACTGTTTGTGGGCTGCCCAGCTCCTACCTCCTGTCCAATTTGCAAACTGACCCCATCATCGCTAAGGACACCAGCTGGTGTCCCATCCACATGGGCCACTATTTCTGCAGGCCCCTGCTCCCCACACGACCTCCCTGTCCAGCCAAGTCTCCGCTCTCCTCACCAGGGACAGTCTTTGTTGTTCAGTGGGACCACGTCTACCTCCAGGGTCGGGAGGACAGGGGCAGCTTCACCTTCCAGGCAGCTCTGCACCAAGACGGCCGCATTGTCTTCAGCTACAAAGAGGTGAGTGGGCCGTTCTTTCATTCAACAAATATGTCGAGACCCTGTAGTGGGCCAGATGTAGGGTGTGGTGCTGGAGATACAGACGTTCACAGGATGGCTGCCAGCCCATCTTTGTGGAGCTGAGAATCTGGCTGGGGGAATAGATAGTAACTGTGGGGGGTGGGGCAAGTGTTCTTACATTGTGATGCCAGGAAAGCCTTTCACGGGGCTCTTTACCTGAATAGGAGCCTGGGAGGCTCTCCTGAGGAAAAGAGTTGAAAATCTTCAGAACGTGTAGGAGTTAAGGAAGCAAAGAGGAGGGTGAAGTGTGTTCTGGGAGGGAGCAAAGCATACACAAAGGCTCTGTGGCAGGACTGAGCCTGGCTGGTATAAAGCACTCAGAGAAGGCGGCCTAGGGATTTCCCTGACAGTCCAGTGGTTAAGTGCAGGTGGTGTGGGTTCCATCTCTGGTTGGGGAGCTAAGATCCTACATATCTCCCGGCTAAAAAAGCAAAACATAAAACAGAAACAATATTGTAACAAATTCAATAGTATAGTACAGTTCAGTCGCTCAGTCGTGTCCGGCTCTTTGCGACCCCGTGAATCGCAGCATGCCAGGCCTCCCTGTCCATCACCAACTCCCGAAGTTTACTCAAACTCATGCCCATCGAGTCAGTGATGCCATCCAGCCATCTCATCCTCTGTCATCCCCTTCTCCTCCTGCCCCCAGTCCCTCCCAGCATCAGGGTCTTTTCCAATGAGTCAACTCTTCGCATGAGGTGGCCAAAGTACTGGAGTTTCAGTTTCAGCATCAGTCCTTCCAATGAACACCCAGGACTGATCTCCTTTAGGATGGACTGGTTGGATCTCCTTGCAGTCCAAGGGACTCTCAAGAGTCTTCTCCAACACCACAGTTCAAAAGCATCAATTTTTCGGTGCTCAGCTTTCTTCACAGTCCAACTCTCACATCCATACATGACCACTGGAAAAACTATAGCCTTGACCAGATGGACATTTGTTGGCAAAGTAATATCTCTGCTTTTTAATGTGCTATCTAGGTTGGTCATAACTTTCCTTCCAAGGAGTAAGCGTCTTTTAATTTCATGGCTGCAGTCACCATCTGTAGTGATTTTGGATCCCCCAAAAATAAAGTCTGACACTGTTTCCACTGTCTCCCCATCTATTTCCCATGAGGTGATGGGACCAGATGCCATGATCTTAGTTTTCTGAATGTTAAGCTTTAAGCCAACTTTTTCACTCTCCTCTTTCACTTTCATCAACAGGCTTTTTAGTTCCTCTTCACTCTCTGCCATAAGGGTGGTGTCATCTGCATATCTGAGGTTATTGATATTTCTCCCGGCAATCTTGATTCATAAAGACCTTAAAAATGGTCCACATCCAGAAAAAAAAAATCTTGAAAAACACCACTCTGGCTTGAAAGTGGAGAGCAGAGGGCTGGGACTCAGAGGAGATGCTGGGAGATGATGCAGGAGAATGGGCCAGCTTGGGATAGGATGGGGGTGATGGAGAGAACTGGATCGATTTGAGAGCCTGTTATCAGGCTAGTCAACAGGATTGGAGATGTGTTTGACAGAGGAGGAGGGAAATGAAAGGAAGCCGGGAGAGGCTGAGGGTGACTCCTCCATGGAGGTGCCATTCACAAAGAGGAAGAAAAGAAACAGGAAATGTGTTTGGAGATGATGTGGGGAAGGTTTGGAATTTGGATGGGCATGCTGGGTTTGAGATGCCTGAGCCCTGCAGGAGGCAATGCCCACCAGCAGATGGGCCTGAAGCTCCAAGGAGAGCTGGTCCAAGAGTGTTTGGGGGGTAGACGGAGCCTCTTCTTCCCCCTGCAGATCCCTATACCCGTCCTGGAAATCAGCTCGTCCCAGCACCCTGTCAAAGCAGGCCTGTCAGATGCCTTCATGATTCTCAATCCATCCCCAGATGTACCAGGTGAGACCCCAGGGGCCCACAGAGATCCCTGGACGGGGCTGAACTCAGCTCAGATTGAGCCAGGCTGGTGGGGGAGAGGGCAGTGTCAGGAAGTGGCTGGGGGTTGGGGAGAGTTAAGTGGGAACTGAGGGAAGAAAAGGGGCAGAATGACTTCCAACTTCTCTTCGTTCGGGATGAGGAACCATTTTTCCAATAAAATCTCCAGTGGGAGGCACTGCTCTGGTGGTGGAGGGGAGTGGGGAGCCAGGGCCCTTCCACTCAGCATACCCTCCACTTAGAAAATCTCCAAAGACACCAAATTAGGGTTTATTAGTCCTCCCAGAACACAACCATAATTGCCTCCCAAACCCAGATGATAGAAGGAGCATCGCAGGGGGCTTCAGGAGGCAGGAAAATTAGATTTCTCTCCTGTCCCTGATCCCTGTCCCCCAATTCCCCTTCCTGGAGGCAACCGGAGGCAACCAGATCCACCAGGATATTTCTAGAGCTACAAGCCTTCAGGTACGTATACATAAGTATATTTAAGATAAACAATGGCATATGATGTCCTCTGTTCTGCTCCTGAACAAAGTATATCCTGCCCATCTTTCTGGATCACTCTTTTTAATAACTGTACACCCCTTGCATGGATGTACCTTAATTGAACCAGTCCCCTGGGCCCAGACTTTTCAGTTGTTTCAATCTTTGATTACAACAAATAATACTGCAGTGAATATTCTTGCAAATAGGTACTTTTATGCTCTTGTGTGAGTATTTCCATAAGATTAATTGCCATCACTTCACCTGTCCCTCTGCTGTCCCCTCTCCCACCCCCAAACTCCCAGCACTCTAGGGAGTAGCTCAGACCCTGCTAATTCGTTGGTTAAAACCCATACTGAGCGAGTTACTAAAGAGTTTCAGTATCACCCTGATTGTATTAGTTAGCTACTGCTGCATAACAGACTTCCCTTGTGGCTTAGACTGTAAAGCGTCTGCCTACAATGCAGGAGACCTGGGTTCAATCCCTGGGTTGGATTGTGACAAAACTTAGAGGCTTAAAACATTATCTCAGAGTTTCTGTGGATCAGGAAACAAAGCATGACTTAACTGGGTCCTCTGGTTTAAGCTCTTTCACAGGCTGCTCTCAAGGTGGTTGCTAGGGTTGCCTCGGTGACTGTTGGAGGGCCATCTAAGAGCTTTCATGTGGTTGTGACAAGATCAGTTCCCCCTTCAGTTCTGGCCGCATGAACCTCCCCATAGCACAGTTCATATGTGGCAGCTGGCTTCCATCAGAGCAGGCAAGGAAGACAGCAGTAGAGGGTGAGCAAGAGGGAAGCCAGAGCCTTCTCGTAACCTCATCACTTTTGCCACTTTCTGCTGGTTGGAAGGAAGTTCCTAGGTCCAGACCACACTCAAGATGGGATTAAACAGGGTGTGAATCCCAGGAGGCAGGGATCACTGGGGTCATTTGGGGCACACTGATTACAACCTCATCCCTAGATACTGAGCTTATAGTTATCTTGTTGGATTATCCTGCAGCACTGTAAATGAAGTCTGTGCATTTGTCTCTTTCTAAACGAAGACAAGGAGCCTCAGAGAGGTGGCGTGACACAGCTCTGAGGGTTAGAACTGAAACCCAAATCTTCTGTATTTTAAACCCTAGTGTCCACCGTTGAGGCTTTCCAAATCCGACCAACTCCCACTCCATCCAGAGTGGGGAATTCTTCCCTCCTCAGTTCCCCAAACACCCAGAGCACTGTGCGCACACACCCAGGCTGTTTTACAGGAAGAACTGTTCTTGGTATACATGCCTCCCTGCGCCTCACCACCGCCCTGTTTTACGCACCTCGGGGGTGGGGTCTGTGCCTCCCTCACAGGCCCTGTGCCCAGTGGCAGAGTCTCAGGAAATGTGTGTTGATCCAGCTGTAGAATGAGGGTGAGTGAGAGGAAGTCAGATCCCCCAAGAGTGTCTGCCTCTGAGGCTCCTCTGTGGTTCTAGAATGAAAGGCTGTTTTAGAGCAAGCCAGGGAGATGTGGGGAGGTGTGGTAATGAGGGGCGAGGGAGGAAGCAGAACCCACCTGAAATAACAGGAGGGCGGCTGTGTCTGTTCTGTGAGAACTGGAGGCGATACAAGGGCTGTTGTGGGAGCGGCTAGATCAGGTGACTCCAGCTGTGGTTCATGAGGCGCTGAGTCCACCAGTCAAGGGAAACCCACGCTGACTCTAGACGCTGCCCAGCAGCTCCCGGCCTCCAGGCTCCCTGCCCCCTGTCCACCTACTCCTTGTTGTCACTGCCAAACAGAGCTGATCTTGTCCTTCCCTGGTTCCTTATGGCCCAAAGCACTAATTCAGAGTTCTTAGTGTGGCACTTGGGGCCTACACAGCTGGGCATAGCCTACTGTTTTATTTTTCTTTCAGTGTTATTGAGTCATATCCAACTCTTTGTGACCCTATGGACTGGAGCCCTCCAGGCACCTCTGTCCATGGGGGTTTTCCAGGCAAGAATATTGGAGTTGGTTGCCATGCCTTTCTCCAGGGGATCTTCCCAACCCATGGGTTGAACCCAGATCTCCCGCATTGCAGGTGGAGTCTTTACCATCTGAGCCACCAGGGAAGCCATATAGCACTGTGTAACTTTCAGGTGTTATAGCATAAGGATCTGACTTACATATATCGTGAAATGATTACAGTAAGTTTAGTCAACATCTCCATCTCATGAAAATGCAAAATTAAAGAAAAAAAATTGATTTTTTTCCTTGTGATTAAAACTCTTAGGATTTATTCTTTTAGTAACTTTCATAGATAACATACAACAGTGTTAATTATATTTTCTCACATGTATTATGGGCACAGCCTACCTTTACGGGCTGGCCTCTGAACCCTCCTGTCAACCACTACTCTATCCAGTCAGTACTGGTCTGCATGCCCTGTGTTCCCCAAACATGCCAAGGGGGAATCTGCATCTTTCTGATGCAGTTCCTCATGTAAAATGCCACCCCCCACCCTTTTACCACTTGGCAAAATCCTGCTTATTCATTGGTCCAGCTTCCTCCATGCAGCAAAATTCATGGCTTCCTCCTCCATCCTCTGGGTACTTTCTTAAGAGCTTTAATATAGAACTCATGACACCATCCTGCCTCATTCCTCTTCTCCCCACCTAGCTGTGAGCTCCCTGGGGCTCCAGCACTTAGCCCAGTGCCTGCAGCAGGGCAGGTGCTCAAAAAATGGGCTCCAGAACGGGTGCTGAAGAGACTGGGTGTGCTCTGACCTCTGGTGACCCCAAGTCAGAACAGAACCTGACATCTGAGTTTAGGGGTGAGTGCTCTGATAACTGCATCTCTTTCTGTCAGAGACTTTTCGGCTTGGGGATCAGGCGCGGACTTGAAAGGAACACTGAGGTGTGGTTGAAGCAGATCATGTGTATGCCTTTTTCTAGGGCAGTATCCCTGGCCTTCACTGGATTTTAAAATAGGCTACAACTCCTGCTTTTCAGAGTGATGGCTTTTATGTGGCTGAGAGATCAGATTCCTCTGGGTCTGATAGTCAACTCAGCAAATAGGGAATTTATTTGAATTTGGTTGAGATGCAAATATTGGGTTGGCCAAGAAGTTCGTTTGGGTTTTTTCCATAAGATTTTATATGGAAAATGGACTTTTTGGCCAACCCAATAAAAATACATTTCAAAAAACCATGATAGAAGTTCAGGGAGAGGCCTTTGGTCCACAGACAATGTCACTGTGATCGTCACTGTGGATATTCCCGTTGTCTCAACCCACCTGTCCTATAGAATAGGTGATATCCCTGCCCTGGCACCCAAGCTTGCCTCCTCCCTGCCTGGGGTGCTGTGAGGAGTGGCATTTACTCCTCACTATTCAAGAATCCCCCAGCCACTGAACCATGTCTTGGAGACTCTCTCCTTTCCCCAGGCTCCCAACACTTTCCTCCCACCCATGTCTGAAGGTGGAGGGAATTCTGCACAGTCTCATTCCTGGGATTGAGGGAGGAAAACAGGCGGAGTTTCTCTTACCATCACTTCCTTGCAGAAACTGCTCTGTAGGCTTTGGAGCAGAGAGTCTGCAGAATGTGCTTTGTTGCAGAGAAAAGATTCAGGTTAGTAGCGTCTGTTTGCAGAAGCAGGCAAAACATACAGAGTAGTTGATACACTCTTTATTTGACTGGAGAGGGGTCCAGAAGTCAATATAATTTCCTCTATTCATTTAAGAAACCCTTTCTGTCACGGACAGTATAAAAGCAGCTTTAGGGTCTCCAATATAAAAACTGACAGATTCTGAATTAATGGAATCAATTAATGAGGATTTCCTTATTAAAAGCTCCAAATGGCAACCTGCCCCTTGGCTGGCCCCAGAATGGCCTTGGATGGCCCAAGCACTAGAACCTTCTCCTGTTCCAGAACCTTCCTTTCATTTCAAAGGCAAACTTGAGAAATGTGGCAGAGGCCCGTGCTGCACCTTGGTGCTGGGTGGGGAGGGGAGGCCCCGGAACTGATGGCAGAGGAGTGAGAAGGCCCAGCCAAGTAAGGGCATGGGAGGGGGTATCGTCACCGTATCTGGCCCATTTCGTCATCTCTCTGCTCCTGATAAAGGATCCTCCATGGTACCGTTTGTTGTAGCTTTTTATCCATCCTGGTGCCCTCCCCCAAGCCCGCCCCCATGACCCTGATTTTTACTTTTATTTTCTGTTTTTCCTTCTACTCTGCTCCCTGAGCGTTGCCTTTTCTTGTCTCCTCTCCTCCCTCAGTCCCTTTTCTACTGTACATCTGTGCTGAGGGGCCTCCCCCGCTGGGCTGCAGGCTCCTTGGGGTGCAGGATTCTCACTGTATTTATCTCTGGGGTCCCCTACTGAGGCTAAGTCATGATTATTAAATGGATAACTGAATGAGCAGAGGCAGATGTGAATGAGTAAATGAAAAATTCCTGCTGATCCACCATCTTCAATTTTTTTGTATGGTAGCCACCATCTCGGAGGGAAGTTTTGTGGCTGGATCTGTCAGTCTGATTTCTTCTGACCAAACTAACCCTCACCCACTGGTGTCTGGTGTGCAAACAAAACGGGACATGCCAAGCTCTCCCTTGAGCCACGGACATCTCTTGATTGCATGGCAGGGCTCTCTGGGTCTGGATCTTAGCATTTCTGAATGTTTGATGAGTGGAAGCAGAGATAACACAGAAGGTCTCAAACTGCCCGGAATGTGGCTCTGGGGTGGCCACCATCTCGGTTCCGGGAGGGATCTGTTGGTTATGCAGATGGACGTCATCATCTTTGGGCGAGCCCCAGATGTTGGCAAGATAATCCAAATGCAAGTAACACAGACTGGGATACTAAGGGTTCTGTTTATTGAGAAATAAAAGTCTTACCAAATCAGATACTTAAGCAAGTACAAGTTGGCTGCTGAAGTGAGCAAATATTTTTAGTCAGAGATATGTTTCCGTCCACCCACCCTCCTCCCCCTTCTTACCACACACATCTCCCCTTCCCTGCTGGTGGGGCTGTGCTGGGTTTTGGAGGATATATCCCATTATCTCTGGCTGCAACCTCACTTGAGGCACATACCCACTCCCCAGCTGGCTGGTGGGGAGACCCATCCCTAGATTCTAGGGTAAGGTTTACTGGGAGCCCCGCCTTCCCCAGCTGTTGCTTGCTCCTCTCTATCCCTAAAATCGACTCTCTTGACAAGTTCATGCATCTCTCTTCATGCCTCAACACTGACCCCTTTGTCCTCCTATTTCACCTTCCTTCTAACTGAAGTTTGATTCCTGGGTGGGGAAAATCCGCTGGAGAAGGGATAGGCTACCCACTCCAGTATTCTTGGGCTTTCCTTGTGGCTTAGCTGTTAAAGAATCCCCCTGCAATGTGGGAGACTGGGTTTTATCCCTGGGTTGGAACGACCCCCTGGAGAAGCAAAAGGCTACCCACTCCAGTATTCTGGCCTGGAGAATTCTATGGACTGTATAGTCCATGGGGTCACAGAGAGTCAGACACAACTGAGCCACTTGCACTTTCACTTTCACTTTTCTGAGAGCCAACTCTCCCCTACAGCGCTGTAGATAGAGACACTCTGGAAGCCAATTCTCCTCCTGCTTTAAGCTCTAAACTTCGGAAGGGTCTGGCTTTCTGTGGCCCATCGGGGGCAGCCCTTTTGAAAAAGGCCGTACTCTATAGTGGGCTGGGGAGAAAAGGCATTCTTCCTTTGTGCTGTGGGCTGAAGTTATGATAAATTGCTAGGGTTTTCCTGACTATTTATAAGCCATTCATTCATTCACAGTCCTTTCTCAAGACCCTGTTGTATGCCAGGCCTGGCGTGAGGGGCTGGGGGACAGAGACATATAACTTGCAGGCTCTGCCCTTGGGGAGCTCACAGTCTCAGGGGGTGGGTGGCCAGCAGAGTAAATGTTTGTGAAGCGGGTGACACTGGATGGGGCACGGGGGGCTGTGGAGCTCAGAGGAGGGGCCCCTAACTGCACCCCAGCTTGGGGGATGTCTTCAAGGAGGACTTGTCATTTGAGTTGAGCCTTAACAGAAGAGACAGATTAAGGAATAAATGTTTACACAGAGTCTAGACTCCAGGGCCTCAGGCATCTTGGAAGAACTGGAGTTTCACATTTACTTTTATCCTATTCCATTTTGTTGTTATAGGGGGTGATTTTTTTTAGGAGAGTTGGCTTCTGGGGGTGGTGGGTGGGATGGAGCTAGGAAAGGCTGCCTGGAAGTTCCCCATCCTCCTAAGATCTCACATGGCCCGGGCTCAGTCGAAGCCCAGGCCACCTTTGCAGAGAAGTTGGTGTCACAGAGAGTGCCCTACCGCACCTGTGGGCTGTTGGGTGAATTGAAAATTGGAGCCTCTTTTGAGCAGATAATCTCTCACCTCAATCTCTTTCAGACCCACCCCTGCTTGGCAAGGGGCCTTGCTTATATCAAAAAAATTGTGTGTGCGTGTGTGTGCACATGCAGGTGCTCACACACACATGTGACTGTGTGTTTATGTGTCTGTGTGTGTGTGCAGGCGCTTAGATGTGCACATGTGTGTGAGTGGTACTCACATTTCAAGTGCAGACCTTTGAGGTGGGGCTGCAGATTCCTCTTTAGTCCAGGGGAGCTTTGTGGCCCCCGGCGCCAGAGCAGTTTCCTTTGTGTTGCACAGAATGTCTCAAGGACATTCTGTGGTTGCAGACGTTTCAGGGACAGAGGTGTCCCCAGGCTCTGCTGCAGAGAAGAGAGCACAGTAGGAAGAGAGCATGCTTTGGGGTCATCACCTGGGGTTCAATCCTGGCTTAAGCAGGAGGGAACAGTTCTAAGACTGAGGAGGTGGTAGTTGCTCAGTCGTGCCTGACTCTTTGTGACCCCATGGACTGTAGCCCACCAGGCACCTCTGTCCGTGGAATTCTCCAGACGTGGTTTGCCATTCCCTTCTCCAGGGGATCTTCCCGACCCAGGGATCGAACCCAGGGTCTCCTGCATTTGCAAGTCAGTTCTTTACTGTTTGAGCCAAACTATAGATTGAGGATAAATAGATGATAGAAACATAACTGAAATGTTCTTTTGAGCAGTATATGCTGCCCTAGATTCTTTATTCAGGTCGGGGTGCCCAGTGGCTGCACAGGACACCCTCCTTTTCGTGGATGCCCCTACTGAGTTCTGCCACCTCAGGAAACTTTCCTCAAAATCACCTTCAGCTGGAAGGAAATTTATATCCTCACCTATTCTGGGCTTCTAGTGACAAAAAACCAGCTGAAACTAGTTCAGCTGGAAAGGGGTGTGTTGGGAATACTGAAGGAGCCCAAAGAACCAAAGGAAGAGCCAACACCTGGGAACAGAGGACCAGGGCAGGTCTGGGGACTCCAGGGACTGGGATGCCACCAGTACTCCGTGCTCCTTTCCACAAGGCGGCTTCGTCCTCTAGCTTTCCCTGTGAGACTGGAGCTGTGGCCATTCATGGACACTGAGCTTGCATCTTCTCAGCATTATTACTAGAGAGCAAAGGGCAGCCTGATTACAATTCAAAAGTCCCAGGGAAAGTCTCTGATTGGTCCGACTTCATCAGATGCCCAACCCTGGACCAAACTCTGTTGGACAAGGAGGCAGAGTCGTGAAAGAAGATACAGTACAGACCACATGTAGGAAGGGGCTGGGGTCAGTTCCTTCTGTTTCCAGAAGGTAGAAGGGGTCCTGGGTAGGCCAAATACTAAGTGGCCTTTTCCCCTCATGGGAAAACTCATTCATGAAACTCAGCTGCTTGCAGCGTGTCTTTTGGAGCTGAAGGAAACCAATTGCAAGTCATGGTTCTTCGGTGGGCATGGGGGAAATATCAGAGCATCTCAGACTGCCATTTTAGGAAAAGTCTTTCTATCTACAATTCCAGCTTTTTACTCGCAAGGGTGTTGGGGCAGGTGATAATGTTTTTCCACTTCACAGACAAGAAACTGAGGCCCTAAGGGTATCCAACTTGTCAGGAGCAGAACTCAACTCAGAATTCAGGTCTTTTGACTCTGAGGTCCCTTAGGAAGTTTCTGCAGGGACTGAGGCAGGATGTCAACCTGGTTCTGGCCCTTGAACCATCGAGGAGGGGAGAGGATCTCCAAGGTCAGCCTGTCCATCTGCAGACATTTGCAGAGCACTCACTGTGGGTCACGTTCAGGACCAGATGATCACAGTTGAGTGGTCCCCACCCTCCAAATTGACCATCATGACCACATAATGCAAGGAGTGCAGTGGGAAGAGGGCCTGGGGCAAAGGGGGTAATAGGAGGGAGCTGGTCAAGGGGGGCTGCTCAGAGGAAGAGGCCCTGAGCTAGATCTGAAAGAGTGAGCTAGACAAGAAGAGAAAGGGTGGAACAGTGTGATGGGTCAGGGGGACAGCAGCTTTGAAGGCACAAAGGGTGGACTCCTGTGTTCTGGCCCCAGCAACAGCTGGGCCGCTGCATTGTCAACCTGCTTATGACATAGAGCTCGCTGCTCAAAGTCAACTCCCATCCTCCTGTCTCTCCACAGTTTCAGCATCATCATCCCGGGATGATGGTTTTACTTCCTGCTCTCAGGGACTGCATATTGACTCCTGGTTCCTCTCACTACAGTCTCCTGCCCCCCTGTCAGGCTCCAGGTCCCAAAGCCTGTGAAGTGCTCCCGATGACAGGCTCTGCCTCTGTTTCAGAATCTCGGAGGAGGACCATCTTTGAATACCACCGTGTGGAGCTGGACCCCAGCAAGGTCACCAGCACATCTGCCGTGGAGTTCACCCCACTGCCAAGTAAGTAGGGCTTGTCCCCGCTGATGGAAGAGAGGCAAGCCGCCATCCTGGCAAGAGCACTGAAGTCAGACTGAGTTCCATCCCAGGCTCACCAGGGTCACCTGTCTCGATACAGCCACGTGACTTCTCTGGGCCTCCATTTCTCATTTGTAACATGGGCCTCACACTGCCTCCTTCCCAGGGCTATGGTACGGGTGAGAACCGCACTAGGTAGAGCTGAGGATGCAAATGAAAGTCCAGACACTAACTGGCACATCCCAGGCCCAGGGCATGGCTTGTGCTTGATATATGCCAGCTGCTGGTATTAACGGGCTTCCCTGGTGGCTCAGAAATAGTCAGCCTGCAGTGCAGGAGCTGCAGGAGACACAGGATTGATCCCTGGGTCTGGAAGATCTCCTGGAGGAGGGCATGGCAACTCATTCTAGTATTCTTCCCTGGAGAAGCCCATGGACAGAGGAGCCTGGTGGGCTACAGTTCATGGGGTCGCAAAGGATCAGATACGACTGAAGCAACTTAGCAGGCAGGCACTGTTATTAACATGTAATTGTAACCGAGAAAAGAGATACCTCTGATAACTTGGATTGAGCGCATAGAAAAGATAATATAGGAACTGAATGGAACCATAAGTTTATCACTGCATTTTCTTTAGAGGAGGCGTGATGCTGGCATCCACAGGCAGAAGGCAGTGTCGGGATTTAGCCAGCAGCCCTCCAGGATCCAGGGGGCTGGGTCCTGTCACTCTTCTGCACCTTGCTCACCTGCTGTTGAAGGCACGCCATGGTGGAGGCCCCCCGCTGCTGCTTCGGAGCCTGAGGGATCCAGTCAGGGCAGATTGGGAGAGTGAGGGAAGGACAGTGCTTCCTGTTCATATATATATATATTTATTTATTTATATAAACTGCACCAGGTCTTTTATGTGACTCATGAGCTTCAGTAGTTATGGCGCATGTGTTTAGTTGTGGCATGTGGGATCTAGTTCCCTGACCAGGGATTGAACCCAGGTCCCCTGCATTGGCAGCATGGAGTCTTAACCACTGGACCACCAGAGAAGTTGCCACCCGCCACCACCCCCCACCCCCCGCCATGCTTATATTTCTAAAGACAGGTTTAATTTCCTCTCCTGTTTCATGATACCTCCCAGCTTCCCTCTGGAGCCATGGCTTTCTCCCTGCCTTCTGGGATGGTTCTTGCCTCCCTCCTCTTCCTTTTCCGTGGAGGTTTTGGGAGCAGGGGGTGAAGAAAGAAGAGGAGGCGAAAGGGTCTTCTCAATGCTAGGCCATGTCCCAGCAGGTGTCCTCCCCTGATGCCTAGGGACAGGACTGGGACTCCTGGGGTCCCAGTCGCCCTCCCAGTCGCCTTCCCTCTGGGCAGAGCTTCCTCTAGGACTGGTGAGAGCAAACTTCGAGTCCCAGGCATGACTAAACTACATTTGGGAGCAAGGACATCCAAGGGCAGGGCTAATCAGCCAGGCAGAAGTAGTGAAACATCTTGGGAGTGCGTTTCTGGGACACGTCTGTACATTTAAGCCTCTTCCCACCCCTCCAGTGAATTTTGTGAGCATTTAATAGCACACAGGACATCTGAAATGCAGATGAAAGTAAAGGTCAGTGGGTTTTTTTAATGTCTCATGAGGCTCCTAGGGATTTTTCTCAGTTTGACTGGAGCCGTTTAAGGGGCCTCCAGAGTCATTGGAAATGACCAGGTCACGGGCTCCAATGTCCAGGAGGGAATTGCTACCAAAGCTGTGTTTTAAACTCCTGGAAGCTGGTTTGCCTTGTTCTCAGAAAACTCTGCACCCCACAGCCCCAGGTTTTCTCCCTTACCTTTGGGGGTGGGGGGAACTTAGCCAAAATTCTTCCAGAGGTGTGGCTCTTTAAGCCATTACACTCCATGGACAGTCCTTCTAGAAGAGACTCCTGAAAAGGTGGCCTGGCGTAAAGGTGGAAGCTGGGGAAGAGGGTCTCCCAGGGGGACCTCAAGGCTAGGAGCTCAGGTTCTCAGCTTAGACAGATCTTGGTTCAAACCCAGATCTGCCTCTCTTAGCTCAGTGACTCTCTCCAAGCCTCGGGTTCCTCCTCTATAAAATGGGGATGAAAGCAACTCTATATCGATTCCATAAACTTTTGTTAACTGCCTACCACCTGCTGGGCACTGCTGTAGACCCTCGGGGTACACCAGAGAAGAAAATAGCCAGAGCGCTGTCATTCTGGGGTCAGGCCAGTCCCTGCTTATTTTCTGCCTGCCATATTCCCTCCACCCTTGCAAAGCCTGCAAAGCCCTGGTAGATGAAAGGACACACTGCCCCCTGCAGCCAGTCCCTCCCAGAAGGCAACTGAAGGTGACCACGCTGTGCCCGAAGAAGCTTTTCTTCCCCTCACCGAGGGCTGGTTCCCAGATGCTGCCTTGCTGGGGGTCCACTGAATGCAGACTGGTTCCCTAATTAATGGATTGTGGTCCAGGCCCATGAAAACCCACAGAGTAAAGAAATGCCTGTTGAGTAAGTGGTCATTTTCTGTGGTTAGCCGTCACTTCTTGCTGCTACCAACGTGTTCTGTTCAGCTGCTCATCAGATGAGTCCTCAGACTGCATACAGTTATTCTGGGTCAGTGCCTGTCTGTCCTTATAATAAAATGCATGGATTTTGTGGCAGCTGCTTGCCACTCCAAGGTCATTTAAGTGGGCAGCATTTGAGTGAGTGAATGACTCTTAAAATCCAGCTCCCATCCCTCCTGCTCCCCTGGCCCTCTCTGCTTTTCTGGCTGGCTGATGACAGAAGGGATCCACACACCCTCCAGCAGCCACTTCCACTAACTTCCCTGCTTTCCCCCCTGCCTTGCCCAGCGAGGCCCCAGCTGCCTTTCCTCCCCATTCCTACCACCTTCCACCTCTCCACCCTGCAGAGTGCCACCTGCTGTTGGGAGCACCCTGGAACCTACTCCTCCTGGGCCTCTGCACAGAGGGGTCCATCTGCTTGGACTTCCCCAGGAGAGTTGCCGGCTGGCTTCCCTTCTCTGCATCTCCTCAGAGGCCTTCCCCAGCCTCCCTGAGTAAAACACACCCCCCACGTGTTCTGCTCCCCTTTTCTCCTAGCCCTTCTCACCACTGGAAGCCCCAGTGGAATGTGTTAGTCGCTCAGTCGTGTCCCCATGGACTATAGCCCATCAGGCTCCTCTGTCCATGGACTTCTCCAGGCAAGACTACTGGAGTGTGTTGCCATTCCCTTCTCCAGGGGATCCTCCCGACCCAGGAATCAAATCTGGGTCTCCTGTATTGCAGGCAGTTTCTTTACCATCTGAGCCAGCAGGGAAGCCTAGGCGGAGCCCTAGCGTGGATCTTCTCGTCTGTATATTTGTTGACCATCTCCTCCATTTGCTTGCAGGCTCCATGCGGGCAGTACTTCTGGCTTTTCCTGTTCACACTGCATCTCCAGGGGCAGTACTGGGCCCTTGATAGATGCTCAATTAATATTTGTTGAAAGAATGAATGAATGAATGAGCACCTGAGAGCAATGATGGACCAGAGTCGATAACAAGTTTCATTCACTGGCTCCCCATGTGGCCAACACTGTTAGAAACCCTCTCATAGCTGGCCTACCACACAGACAGCATCCTTATCCCTCTATTACAAATGGGGTACTGAGGCACCAAGAGGTCAGGTGACTTTCCAGGGAAGATTTAAGCCCATTTGAGCAGAGGTCAGCACATTCCCTGGGACTAGCTCACTTCCAAGAGGAGAGGGAGAGGAAAGGAATGGAATCCCATACGCCTGGATTACTCTTGAAAACGCAGAGCCCAGACTTCCCTGGGAGGAGGTGGACAGGCCAGGAGTGGGTGTCTGATGGCAATTCTGCCACATGGAGTCATCAGGAGTGGGGAGCGCTAGCTGGTCAAACCAGGACATGTAAAATCCTTTCAAGTGATAGAAGACAGCACAACTGTATTATAAACACTAAATTTGCTTAGAGACTCGATCTTAATTGTTTCCAGCCCTGGAAGAAACGATACTGATGTGGAGTGATGGAGGCATTAGCGAAGGCTACCATGGTCATCGTACAGCAATATAAATGGATAAAATCAATGGGCTGTACACCTGAAACTTACATGATGTTGTTTGTCAAATATATCTTGATTTAAAAAAAATCCTTTTCAACCCTGTAAATTGTAGGCAACAGGCCAGAAGTCTAACTTCCCAGACTAAGCGTGATTCCTTGTACATCCTTACGACACCCTATAATCTTCCTTTGTAAACCATCACAATGATAATTATGTAGATATTTTTGTTTGATGATCTGCTTAGTATCTGTCTTCCCGTGTGACTGTAAGGCCCAGGAAGGCAGGTACCAGGTCTTATTGCTGAATGGCTAGCAGCAGCTCAGGGCTTGATCTGCTAGTGACAAAAGGAAGAAAGGAAGTAGGGAGGTGGGGACAGGGAGGGAGGGAGGAAGGGAGGGTAGAGAGGGAGAGTCGGAGAATCAAGGCTGGACTTAAATGTGTGTTAGTTGCTCATCGTCTCCAACTCTTTGACCCCATCGACTGTAGCCCACCAGTCTCCTCTGTCCATGGGATTCTTCAGGCAAGAATGCTGGGGTGGGTCACCATTTCCTTCTCCAAGAGGTCTTCCCAACCCAGGGATCAAACCTAGATCTCCCACTTCCAGGCAGATTCTTTACCATCTGAGCCACCAGGGAAGGACTCAAGTGAGGGTGGCATTATAAACTTCTAGGGTCCCTGCTGATCAGAGCCTCCGGAGTTCTGTAAGGACCCAGCATTCAGGGAAGTCGCACCTTTTGGAGGTCTGTGGAGGGACTAGTGCTGAGCGACTGCTGCCTTCTTCTCTTTCGCAGCCTGCCTACAGCATCGGAGCTGCGACGCCTGCATGTCCTCAGACCTGACCTTCAACTGCAGCTGGTGCCACGTCCTCCAGAGGTGTGTACAGGCTCACCCTCTGGTGCCCACAGGCAGACTGTGCGGGGGCCAGAGGGTGGCACCGCCCTGCTCCCTGCCTCAGGTCTCAGGGCCGACATGAAGGTAACTTTGGCCAGTGCTACTCCGACGCTTAGGACAAGAATATTATGGTAGTGAGTGTCTCCCTGAGGCTTGTGACCCATCAAGGTGACTATATGTCACCCTGAAGTGACTCTAGACTTTGGAAGACCATTCAGAGATTCCAGCTACTGCAGCTCCCTCCTCACAACCAGGGGCGTTGGTTCATCCTCTGGCAGGCCTTTTCCAAGAGTGGTCCACAGCTGTGAGCATCCCAGAATCAGCTAGGGCTTGAACTAAATGTGCAGATTCCTGGGGCCCACCCCCGCCCCCCTGCATCAGGGTCTTTCAGAAAGAAGTCAGGGAGCCTGCACTTTTACCTCATTGCCTCATCTGCAAGCAAGTGTGAGACCTGCCAGCTCAGGGGTGAGCCTAAGACCCACCGTCTATGGGCAAGAGCCCCACGATCCCAAAACCCCACCTCAAGACTATTCTCAGGCTACAACAGGGTTCCCTGAAATCCAAGGGTGTGGACATTGCAGGCATCTGTGGAAAGCTGGGACAAGTTACAAAGCTGTGTTTGTTTGGTTTTGGAAGCAGGGAAAATTCTGGATGAGATTCAGTTTCAGGGATAAAGTTCTTAAATCCTACTCATCTTCCACTCCTTGTTCTGCAACCATTTCCTCACAGATTAGACTCAAAATTTGACCCCTGTTCTCCTGTCCAGGATAAATAAATTGTGGGGGACAGGGGGAATTGGGGGGAGGAAGACTTTCTTGGGGGATTAGAGCTCTCATGAGATTGGGAAGACCTGTGAACTCCAAGAACCTTGGAATCTTGAAACTTGCAAATTACAGAGGCTCTGAGTTCCGTGCAGCTGTCCTGTAACTGTCAGTATTTCCTGTGCTCCTTTCCAATGTCCTGGTGCAGAAATAAAAGGCACTGCCTTTACAGGCGGCCTGCCTAGCACACAAGGCATGGCTCAGGGCCAGGAGGAGAAAGGGGCCTCATCAGGTCTCCCAGCTGTTCTTCCCACCAGCTGTGCGCTTATTCACTCTCTTATGCCCTCAGTTTATTTTCCCTGTAAAATGGGCTGGGGTTATGTCATTCAGGGAGTTGTGGGTGAGGAACATGCCTATTATTTTAACTCCTCAAATACCAGACAGAATTTTTACAAAGTGTTCAGACTCCTTCACATGAAAGGCACAGAGCCTCAGAGAACACACGGGGGAGACCCGAGATTGCGTCTTCCTGGCATGGGGACTTGCGGTGTGATCCATCTTGTGCACTTTCAAGTGTGAGAGCCCTATGTGAGTGTGAGGCGATAATCCAGATGACCTCAGATGAGCCCTGGAATGCTGCGGCCAGCTGCCACCATGTGACTGAGCATCGTCCAACAACAGCTAAGCCATGAAGACTGCATGATGGGTCAGACGAAAGCAAAACCCTAGCTTGCAACACCCCCACTTAATGCGTATGCCCAAACCCAGAAAACCATGTCAATTTAATGAGAGTTGGTGAGGGGGAGGGCAGGGCTTGGCTGTAGACATTGTCTTTGCTGGATTATGTCAACTAGAAGACAGAAGAGCTCCATCAGGGATCCTGTCCCCAGATGTATGTGGGCCTGGGCTCACCCGAGCCAGGCCTGTTCCTTCCTGACAGATCTATGGAGCCTCAGCTGAGAGCTGACTCCAGATTCCTAAAAAGCCAGAGAGCAGGGCTGCTGCAGGGTGGCCGACCACCATGGTCTCTCCCACCAACTGCTGCTTGAAATCCCCTCATGGTTCTTGGCTTCGCCTCCACCTGCTTTGCCCTCGGCAGCCTTGCAGAGCCTCCCTTCCCTGCGCGGAGGGGCCGGATCTGACTCAGATGATTTCACTTATCATGCAGATATTTTCCTTTCATCCCACATTGTCCCCTAATGGCCCACCTTGGAGTCTGTGGGTGACCCTGACTCCAGAATTTGGCTCGGAAAATGAGGGTCATAACCCTTGCCTTACGGTGTCATCGCAAAGGTCCCGAGAGATGGCACAAGGGCAGCATGTGACTGGGGCAACACCTGGCATTCAGAAGACGCTCAAACAGTGGCCGTTTCTCATGCGTTTCTCCTTTGTGTCTGGGTTGGTTGGCCCCAGGCTTGGAATGGGATGCTTTTAGACCTATATCCAAGGCTCAGTCCTTGAAAGAACCGGTTAGTTTGGCCTAAAGGAAACTTCAGTTCCCAGCTCCCAACAGTGCCCCTGGTCTTCCACGCCTTGAAGGAGGGGGGCATGGAGGACCCGAGAGAGGGGGCTGTGGACGGCTCCGCTCGGTGTCCCTGCTACAGGAGGAGCAGCTCAGAGGCGTCTTCAGAAGGAAGGACTGACAGAGCCTGGACGCCTCTGCCTCGCCAGGTCTTGGACAGATGGGCAGGCAGTTGCCGGTGCAGAGTTCACCAGCCTCACATCCTTTCTCAGCATTGGTGGCTAGTGATACTGGCTTCCCATGCAGAGGTCCCTGCACTTGAATAGGACTTGGGGGATTCTCCTGGCACCAAAGAGTGAAGAACGGAACTTTGAGCATGACGCTGTGAAGAATATTCTCTGGTTCATCCTCATACCCCACCCCTGCCCTAGGGAAGCACTTGATGTCTTCCAGCCCAGCTGAGCTGTGCGGTGTCCTCTCAGGGGACCCTGGTCAGCCAAGATCTCATCTCTCCCAGTCTCTGGCAGGACCCTCACTTTTGCCCTTCAGTGACCACATGGTGGATGTTGGCCAGATTGGCTGATGTCCATCCTTGGCCCCGCCCATCCTTGCCAAATTTAGGCTCCTCCACAAAGAAGGGGGGCTCAGCGAATGAGCAAGACTCTCCCTAGATGAGAACATGTGGGTGAACTCCCTGGTTTCTCAGCAATTTCTGGGCTGCCTGGAGTTACAGGGCAGGGCTTAAGGTCATTAGAGATCATGCAGTCTGTCAGCTCCATAAATACAGAGACACATACAGACACACAGATAACACACACACACACATGCATCTGGGTGGGTGTGGCCTTGGTCCTGGGGAGCTGGGTCAGGAGAAGGGTGGGGATGCCACAAATAGCTTCCCCTCCTTTGGGGGAAGGAGTAGAGGGGGCAGGAGGGGCTTGATCACAGCCACCTGGGGCTGGGGCACCTGCTCAGTGGTCTTGGGTAGGTTCGCCTCCTCCTTGCTCCCCTTGGAGAGCTATTACTGCATGGAGGGGAGGGGAGGGGAGGGGAGGGCTTCTCTGTCAATCCCATCACACCTCCGGCCTCTTGGTTCCCCCTGCAGATGTTCCAGTGGCTTTGACCGCTACCGCCAGGAGTGGCTGGCCTACGGCTGTGCCCAGGAGGTGAGAGGCTGAAGTGAGCCGGGTGGGGGAAGGGCAGGGCTGCAGGCCCACCCCTTGCCTGGTTGCTCTTCTCTTAGTGATATGCTCCCCTCCACTGGGGCTTGCCTCCCTGTCTGATCTGTGCCAGTGAGACCAATGTGGGAGGTTTTTTCAGGCCTGGTGGGTCCTTGAGACAAGCACTTCTCCTGGTGACTTGGCCCAGAGCAGCAGTTCTCCAGGGACTCTCTTGGTTCTTGCAGAGGGTATATTGGGTGTGGCCTTGGCCATACTGGAATCTTCTAGGAGGCTGTGCGCCTGGTAACATTCAAGAAATCACTGCCCCAGCTCCAACCTTCAGGCATTTAAGGAAGGTGGTCGTTCTGGGAGCAAAGTGGGTTGTACCTGGCACCTCCCATTTAGAATCCCATACAGGTTCGACCCCTGGGTCGGAAAGATCCCCTGGAGGAGGACATGGCAACCCACTCCAGTATTCTTGCTTGGAGAATCCCATGGACAGAGGAGCCTGGTGGGCTACAGTCCATAAGGTTACAAAGAGTCGGACATGGCTGAAGTGTCTTAGCACGCATGCACAAGCACAGGTTCCTTCTCACTTGGAATTTTCCAGAATGCTCAATGCTTTGGATGGGTCATGTCCTATTCTCACACCTTTTACTGACACAGAGAGACTCAGTCATGTATGCATCCTTTCCCCTCCCTTCCCCTCACTTTCCCTTCTTGCAGGGCAAGCACATGGCATGTGCCCAACACTTGCTCTGATTTAATCCTATCATGGTCCCAGGAGCTAGGGAACAGTGTCCCCATTGATCAGAGAAGGAAACTGAGCCTCAGAGAGGTTCAGTGACTTGGCTGGCAGCTCACAGCTGGTGAAATGGTGAAGGTGCCGGGCCCAGGATTTAAATGTGAACCCCCAGAATTACTGCTATGCTCTCACTACCATCTGTTTTATCAGTGAGGCTGGGTGAGCTGTTTCTGGTCTTCAAAAAAAAAACCCCAAACCCCTTGTCCATCCAGCAGCCTGTTTCTGACATTGGCTGTTGGTGAATGTACTCATTTGCTTTATTTATTTAAGATTGGCATCTCAGCTCCTTGAGGAAGGATTCGAAGCAGCTGAGAGATAAATTGCCCTGTAAGATAAGATACTTTCAGGATAAAGTGGAAAGCTCAAATGCATTCAGAGCCCAGCTTTGGTTAGATTACCATGCCTGAACCACTCACTGGAATCTTAAATCTTCTGGCCGCTGAGGGATGAAAGCACCCCAGGGTCCTCCTGTGTGCGACGGAGCCGCTGGCAAGGCCTCTGTCCATCGCAGCACCGGGTCTCTCTTGCAGGCAGAAGGCAGAACATGTGAGGACTTCCAGGACGAGGACTCCTACTCGTCCTCCCCCGACAGCTCCTTCAGCCCCTTTGACGCAGACCTCACCACCACCTCCTCCTCCCTCTTCATTGACAGCCTCACCACGGAAGGTACGAATGGGGAGGAGCCATGGCCCTGAAGCATCCCTGCCCCTGATGGGGATTATCTCAGGGAACAGAGTCGTTGCTTCCTGTCACATCTGAGGCTCCCAGAGCCTGGGTCACTTGCCAGTGAGACCCAGAGCTAGGTTTAGGACAAGTAGACTCCATGCCTGCGTCAGAGTTGGGAAACAGAGGGTGACAGAAAAAATTACTGTCCCAGCACAATGCCAATTATTTTACATAATAACTTGATTCATCTTAATAGCAATTCTCAGAGAACCTGTGAGATCTTAGCATCCCGGTAGCAGGTATGAACTCAGTCTCACACACTCAGACGTCAGAGAAAGATTGCATAATTTTTTTGTGACTTCCCTTCTGGTTCCCACCCCTCATTGGGCTGGCATGGTGGGAAGTTCCACCCCCGCCGTGCTGGGGCTTGGCTTTCCACTGCTGTGATGTCCATGGGGCAGAGGGGAGTGCGGGACATCTCTGACCATCTCGGTTGTTGCTGAACTGCTTCTTCAGGCCTGGATGTCCCTGGGGCCTTCTCTGCCATCCCCATGTTACTGGTGGAATGGTGATTCCTGGGTTCTTGTCCTCAAAAGGGAAAGAAATCAATCTAGAGACATAGAACAGTTTTAAGCAGCGGGAGTTTTAATAAGCAAAGCAATATGTACACTCTTGAGAAGGGAGGAGAGCGGACTGTCTGGGGGCCAGAAGCAGCCCCACAGTGAAGGTAGAGTTGGGTTGTTCAGAGTGATGGAAAGTCCCTCCCTGTGTCCTGCATCACTTGATTGATGAGTTGATTGACAGCTTTAGGTTATGTAATTTTCTCCCATAAGCCCCCAAGTAGAAACGGGTTGGGGGGGTGGTGGGCAGGGAATGGCAATACTAATTCATTATAAATACTGTATAATGAGCCCCAGGCTATTCTGAGTCACCTCTTAGGTCTGGTTGCACCTACACCAACCAGTACTGGCGGTTTGGAAAGCCCCGTTGGGTTTTTGTTATCTGGCTTGGTCCTGATAAGGCTGGAAATTTTGCAGACCTTAACCATAAAAAGGGAGTTCTCTGGGCATGTTCTGGTCACCAGGGTCCAGGTCAGGCAGGGAAAGGTGACCCCGTCTAGGATGGGGTGGGCCCTGCTCATGTCTGACTTGCTGTCTAATAGTCTTCAGTTCCAAGGTCAAGTTGTTTCCATTTCTTTGAGGCCAGTTCTGAGAACTGTGGCAGTGATGTCATGGCTACATCTGGTCATCACGCAGTTAACTACTTCCACCGGGTGGGGGTTTTGGTGTCCAAAGGTCCTTGGCTCTGCCTAATGTCTATATCATCATTCAGTCTTGTTGAACTCTTTTCCTGTTTTTGTGTTTTCTCACCTCTCTGACTAAACTTATTCTTTGGTTAAAGTTTTTCCACAGAGGTAGGTAGGCTGAGGACATGGGGGACAAGGCCCATAGGATCCTGCTCTGTTTCACTCAGGCCTAGGGTTTTATCGAAGCTCCCGGAGGTCCATCCCCCCTGTGGGGAAGACCAGGCAGGGTCCCCGGATTCTTTGGCCATCTCTGAGAAATTCCTTCCTCATCCTTTTTGGATACATGGCATCTAGATTTTAACCCCTTGCCCTAAATCTAAGACTGTATGGGGTCTTCCTACCTCCCCTGAGCCAGATTACCTGTTTGAAAGGAGCAAATGGAAAGGAGGAAAAAGCTGGTATTTTTAAACATTATTCATCCACAATCCCATTTTATAGACAAGGAAATGGGTTCATGAGGGGCAAAGTAGGCTGCTCAGCAGTGGAATATTCTTCCTGTGGTCTCCCCCTGCCTTTGAAATGCAGCCTAGAGAACCAGAAAGCAGGAACCCATGGATCTGGCTGGAGGGAAGTGAACATCTGATAGAAAGAGCAAACATTTAAGGGGACTGACCATGGGCCAGGTAGGGTGCTGACATTGTGTACCCATTAATACTCACTTAATCCTCCTAATTATGCTGAACTTTGATGCTCTTTGATCCACAGTTTACAGAGGAGACACTGTGGCTAAGAGAGGTTGATGGGCTTGCCCAAAGTGACACAGCCAGGAAAATGTGGCATCGGGTCTCATCTGGTTCCCAAAGCAGCAGTCTGGCTCGCTCGACCCCAGTGCTTTTCTCAGTGCTGAAAGGAATAGAAAAGGGTCTTCATGGGTTCATGGGGTAGAAAAATAGTGAAGCGTGAACAGTGAGGCAGGGAATTCAATACATTACTTGAAAAGGGAGCAAGAGGAGACCTCACCCTCAGGAATTATAATGCAGTTCAGGGGTGACCTTCCAGTTACAGCGAACTCCACTTAAAAGAAGCCCCTGGCCAGTCACCCCTGGGGGCTCAATCTGAGCCCAGAGCTGGGCTGGGGTCTGCAGACTTTAGGTGAGAACCCAGCCTTTCCCTCAGGGGTTTAGGGGTGAGCCATGGTGCCTGAGGCCAGAAGGGTGGCTGCGGTGGGGATGGAGAGAGCACAGTGTCTGGCATCTGGAGGTTGGGTTCAAACCCTGACTTGGAATTATTTTCCTTTAGTCCCGGGCCACTGCCATGAAAGGCTGTCCCTACATCAAAGGCTGTCCCATTGATCAGTTTTATCACGTGTGTGTCTCCTGTCATCCCAGGAATGTGTTCCTCCTGTTTGCTATGTAATAAAATTCTACATGGGAAACATTAATTAGAGTAAGGACAGTTATGGCTTTATGGCTTTCCAGTCCTGGAGGAGGTGGCAAAGATTAGCAAGTTGCCTTTATAAGAAAAAAATGTGACAAGCACTTGTCCCCACAACAAACTTTCAAGGTGTCTGGAGGGACAGGTTTGGGTCACCTCCTGTCTATGTTATTACAGCCCACACAGGGAGATGACGTCCTGGGGGCAGAGCTCAGGGTCCCTAGCTCAGGGTCCAGGAAGATGCGGTGAGCGATGGGGATACAGCTCTTCAGCCAGGGGAACCCACCTGGTCAGGGCAGAGGTGGACAGCAGAGAAGTTAGTGGGAGCGGCTGCTGAAGGGTGGTGGACCCCTTCTCTCCCCAGCCAGCCAGAAAAGCAGAGAGGGCCAGGAAAGCAGGAAGTGTGGGAGCTGGATTTTAAGTTACTTAGTTGCTTAAATGCCTCCCACTTAAATGAACCAGAATGACTTCAGTGTGGCAACCAGCTGCCACAAAATCTATGCATTTTATCATAAGGACAGACAGGCACTGACCTGGAATATCTGTGCAGTCTAAGGACTCATCTGATGAGCAGCTGAACAGAACATGTTGGTAGCAGCAAGAAGTGACTACTAACCACAAAAAATGACCACTCATTCAGTAGACATCACACACGTGGTGAATGTTCATGGGCCTTGACCACAATCCATTAATTAGGGAACCAGTTTGCATTCTGAGGACCCCCAGCAAGGTAACATCTGGGACCCAGCCCTCAGTGAGGGAGAGAAAATCTGCTGCGGGTGCAGCATGGTTGCCTTTAGTCATCTTGTGGGAGGGACTGGCTGCAGGTGTCTTTTTGTCTATCAAGACTGCGTGTGGCCTGGGCTACAATGTATTTCCAATGGTCTAGATTCAAAACAAGTTGATTCAAAAAATCAAGTTAATTTGTCCTATCATGTTTAGGATTACTTTGGTCAACTTTGAGTAATCAATTCATCATTTTCAACTTGTAGTGATGAAATAGATTCAGAGGCGTATATAAATGCCTTGTGTGTTGCAATTCCTGAAGAAAACGTATCTTTCTATTTTAAGTCAACAATTCTCTGTTTTGTTTCACTTTGAATTTTTAGGGTGTTTCTGTAATTTTGCTGCTTTACTTTTGACTATGCTGGGCCTTCGTCGCTGTGCAGGCTCTTCTCTAGTTGCAGCTTCTCTTTGTGAAGGCCTCTCTTGCCGCAGAGCACTGACTCCAGGAGGTGGGCTTCAGTAGTTGTAGCACATGGGCTCGGTGGTTGTGGCTCCTGGGCTCCAGAGAGCAGGCTCATTAGTTGTGGTTCACAGGCTTAGTTGCTCCACAGCCAGTGGGATCTTCCCAGACCATAGATCAAACCCATGTCTGCTGTATTATCAGGCAGACTCTTTACTTTCTGAATTTAACTTACCTGATGCAAACAGTCAACTCATTGGAAAATACCCTGATGCTGGGAAGGATTGAAGGCAAAAGGAGAAGAGGGCGGCAGAGGATGAAATGGTTGGATAGCATCACTGATTCAATGGACTTGGACTTGGGCAACCTCCAGGAGATAGTGAGGAACAGGGAGGCCTGACGTGCTGCAGTCCGTGGGGTTGCAAAGAATTGGACACAACTTAGCAACTGAACAGCACTGACAATCAATGATAAGCAATTAAATGATTCCAAAGTCAAATCTACAAAAGCAACTATATCCAAAGAAGCTTAGTTTCTAGTTTTCTTCCTCCATTCTATTCCCTCTTTCCTCTGTGAAAGTGAAGTGAGAGTGTTAGTTGTTTAGTCCTGTCCGACTCTTTGCAACCCCATGAACTGTAGCCCACCAGGCTCCTCTGTCCATGGGATTTCTCAGGCAAGAATACTGGAGTGGGTTGCCATTCCCTTTTCCAGGGGATATTCCCGACCCAGGATCGAATCAGGGTCTCCTTCTTTGCAGGCAGATTCTTTACCATCTGAGCCACCAGGGAAGCCCCTTTCCTCTGTGGGGTACTAGTTTTAAATTTCCTTCTGGTTTGTTCTTTTACTATAGTGTGATTTTTTGATATTTGAAGATTTATTGGAAACACATAGCAGAATAGGATGCTACATTCAGGTACTGGGAGTGTAAAATGGTTGGTTGCTGAGAGGCTCATAGTCTACGGATGCTCCAGAAACAGATCAAATGCTGTGGCACATGGGAGGACACCCCCATCTATCTATCCTCTGGGAAGTGACAGGGCTGCGACCAGGACCAGACTGAGGTAAATGATACACTCAAAGTAGATATAGAAGTTAAGGAGGCATACACACACAAAAGCAATAATTAAGGAAATAATCTTTTCATGCAATATTTTCAAAAATTGAAAGTAATGCCAGAATTCTATGGTGAACAAAATATCAAAAAATTTTTAAAAAGACAGAATCAGACCTGTTTCACTTGTGTCACCCTAGCCTCAGCCCTCAAGAGGCCTTTCAGGAGTGGGACTTTTGAAAGAGGAGTGGTGAAGGGGAGGAAGGGCATGTCCTGTAGGAGGAACAGAATATGCAGCGACTCAGAGATCTGAGAAGACTCTGAGGTCTGGAGAGCCTTGAGTCGCTTGTTACACCCACTGTGACGAGTGCTATTGAGTTAACCCAATGACAGGAGAAGAGAAGACTGGGAAAAACTGCCAAGGGTCTTGAACATCTGTAATCCAAGGGGAGTCAGTGGAAGCTCCCCTTTGAATGAGGAGGATGGTGGAGGGGGAGAAGGGACGCAGAGCTGGTTGCAGGCCCTACATTGTGGAAGGTTCCATTGGTTTAATGTCTGATGCTTGAAGCAGTAATCTCTAGTCATCTAGAATAGTCTCCTGACGTGGAATTTTTGCTGTCCTTTCCCCACAAGAAGGGTCAACCATTGGAACTTATTTAGGAGGCTGCAGGGTACACTCCTTGAGGCGTAGAGGGAGTGTGTTGGCTGGAAATCAGTCTCCCACATTGTACCCTGGGCGTCTTCAAGCAGATTTGATCTTGTGGCTCACACATACCCACCTCAAATCCTTCCTCCCCCTCCTGCTGCCCCTTAGGATACTGTGAAAGGCCCTGAATTTGGCTTTCCAGGCCGCTGTCCACCCCCACCCCCAGCCTAACTCCCTCTCATCACCCCCTACTCACAGCCTGTCTGCCCTCCAGCTGCACTGAACTGCTTTCTATATCTCTACTGGCCAAATTCTTGCTGACTCCAGCCTTTGCCCCACCGTCTATCTGGGACTTTGTCTCAGCCCCACATCTCATCCCACCTTCTTGACTGCCTTTGTGTGGACAATTTTCATTGTACCTCCATTCCCCGCCCCCCGCCCCCACCCTATGACCTCGCTGAGGGCAGAGATCACATCTATCCACAGTACCTACTCCCTGTGTTCAACTGCAAGTAAATACTCAGTAAGTATTTGTTGAACGAATGAACACTAGGAAAAGCTGGCTTGTCTGTGGCCTTCGATCTTTAGACTGCTATGTGACTTTGAGCAAGTCACCTCCCTTCTCTGGGGTTCAGTTTCCTAGCCTTCAGAATGAAGGGCTGAACTGAACCTCCCTAAAGTCTCATCTAGTCCTAAAGGGACAAAGGCCATTGTGATTCTGCTAACCGTGCGCCTTCTCTCCTTTCCCTTTGAAGATGACACCAAAGTGAATCCCTACGCTGGAGGAGATGGTGAGTACAGAGATGCCTGCCCCTCTTCATCGCACCGCTGCCTCTTGGACTCACCCCCCAAGAGGGTGCAGCCTTCACCTGGCCTCTTTGCTTTTTTGGAGAAGGAAATGGCAACCCACTCCAATACTCTTGCCCAGAAAATTCCATGGATGGAGGAGGCTGGTGGGCTACAGTCCATGGGGTTGCAAAGAGTCGGACCCGCCTGAGCGACTTCACTTTCTTTCTTTGCTTTTGCTCCTTGACTGGGGGAGAGGGAAACGACCACAGCCTGGGCTTGTCTAACTTCCTGCTTGGTGGGCAGGTGCGGGAAGTGGTGGGAGCTTCTGGGCACACACTGCCTAGGCTGAAAAAGCAAATCTACATCTAGACATTTCTCATCTCAGGCGGGAACCTCCTGCAGTTCTTCTGACCACAGTGCTCTTGAGTATTCACTGCCCCGAAAGGAGTGAGAGGCAGAGGAGAGGCTGAGCTAGGGCAGGCATGCCCTAGCTGTCCCCAGGGGGCCTCCCAACCAATGATGGGTGGAGAGTAGATTCTCTCATTAAAGTTGTTGCAGGAAGGGGGACTGCTTCCAGGGACAGAGAGTGAGCTCTTGTCTAACACCCTGAAATGAATTGTCTGAGGAGACACGTGGGCTGACAGAACAAGAGATGTTATTGGGAAGGGGAGCCCGGGTGAAGAGCAGCAGGGTCGGGGACCTCAGGAGGACTGCTCTGCCATGTGGTTTGCAGTCTCTGGTTTTATGGTGATGGTGTTAGTTTCTGGGTTGTCTCTGGCCAGTCATTCTGCCTCAGGGTCCTTCCTGGTGTCATGCACTTCAGCCAAGATGGATTCCAGCCAGGATTCTGGGAGGTTGGTAGGGTGTATGAACTAGAGTCTCCTCTCTCCTTTTGACCTTTCCTGAATTATTCCAGTTGGTGGTAGCTTGTTAGTCCCACGTTCCTTACTGGAACCTCCAGTTTAAGATAACTCATTCAATATTAGTGAACTAGGCACTGTGGGATCTGGCCAGGGCAGGATCTGATCAGTGTTTGCCCTAACAAAGTTGGCTTTGATTCCCAACGTGGGTTGGCAGAGAGGACACAAAAGTTGTCCACCACAATTTTACACAGCTTAAGAAGGTAGGGTCCCTGCTCCCAGGACTGCCTGGGGAGATAATCTCCTCTCTGGTGATGTAGGGGTGTGGGGGGGCATCTCCCCTGGCCTTTGCCCAGGGCCAGCTTAAGCCCTTGCTGCAACTACCACAAAGGGGAGATGGAAGAGCCTTGCAGCTCCAGGGGCTGGGAGACTGTTAACCGGGCTCCAACAGGAGAGGAGGGCTGTTAACACATCAGTTAGATGGTTCCTCCCACCAGAGGTGGAGCCATTGCTCCTCTGGGCACCAAGTGTGAGTGTGCATCTGTGTCCACTGGGCTGAGGGGAAGCAGGGGGCTCTGAGCCACATTCGTCCCCCTTATTCCACATCGTGTGCTCATCAGTCCAAGCCCTGCCCTCGGATCATCAGGGTCACTGAAGGCTGCAGGCTGATGGCCAGGTCAGGAGAGGCCAGCTCAGGGTGTGTCTTCACCACTCCCCGAGGTCTTGGCAGATACCCTGGTGGTACCCCAGGGTAGTTTGTCTCCAAAGCTTTTTTTCTCCTGCAGACAAAAGGGTATGGGGAACACAATGACTTTGGATGTATGCAACATTTTATTAAAAATCCCCACCCCTTGTTGATTCCCATCACACCCACCAGCAAAATAAAACAGACTTCAATATTTCTGTTGCTCGCATGCTGCTCTGTCTTCTCTATGTCATTATCCCCACATCCTTTTAGGATAAGAAGAAGCAGCAAAAAGTCACCACAGGTAATATTAGTGAACTAGGCTTCTTAGCATCCCTGACTCGATGGACAAGAGTTTGAGCAAGCTCCAGGAGTTGGTGATGGACAGGGAAGCCTGGTGTGCAGTCCATGGGGTCACAAAGAGTCGGACACGACTGAGCGACTGAACTGAACTGAACTGAGGCTTCTTAGTGACTGGCACTCCTTGGACGAATCCCTTTACCTCTCTGTGTTTCCATTCCTTCAGCTGTACAAGAAAGGGTTGGGTTGGATGTTCTTCCAGCTCCATAGTCTATGGAAAATACTCAGCCTTCTCCTTGGGCTGTATTTCAAATGCTTGCAATGTTCTCAGTGTTTGCTGGCTTATTAGCCCTTAGAGGACCTAGTTCATTTCTTTTATTGAGTTCCTCTGATGGGTCTGCCATTTTTTCTAAGAGTTGAGGACCCTGAGATGAATAAGAAACTGTCCCTGCCTTCCAGGAGGTCACAATCTGGTAGTGGACAGCGACAGGTAAAAATGTGGTCATTTTGCTCTCATAATTGCTACACTTATTGAAGTTGTCCCAGAGACTGGCTGTGCTCCTCAGCAGTTGACATGAATTATCTCATTTTAATCATCACTGTTATCCTATCAGGTAGTTATCATTATTATCCTGTTCTACAGAAATGATGACGGAGACACACAGAAGTTAAAATAAGATGCCCAAGATTACACAGCTAGTAAGTAGCAGAGTCTGTATTTGAAACCAGATAGCCAGACTCCAGATCCCACAACCATCAGATCTCTTAACCATCACATGCCCTTTGAATTCCTTAAAAGGACCTATATGGGATGGGTATGAGAGAGAGCTTTTATGATCCTTAGAAGACATTTGGGCAAGTTTTAAGTGATTTTGGAAAACCACCTGAATTGTGCTAAGAACAAAGTTAGTGTCACCCTCATTACAGTTCTGCCCGATCCACCCTTTCATGTATTTGATAAGTAGATCTGAAGGTTCTGTCGGCTTTTATCTCTGGGACTTTGTCAGAACCCAGGACTCCGCGGCCCCTGCTTCCTTGATCCCCTGACCTAACGGTCTCTCCGCAGGCCTTCAGAGCAACCTGGCCCCCAAGACGACGGGGTCCCCTGTGCACCTGGGCACCATCGTGGGCATTGTGCTGGCCGTCCTCCTTGTGGCTTCCATCATCCTGGCCGGGATCTACATCAATGGTCACCCCACCTCCAATGCTGCCCTCTTCTTCATCGAGGTCTGTGCAGGGTGGGGCCGCCCCTCCGCCATCCCCATCTGCGTCAGCATTCCCCAGCCATTCAGTCCCTATCTCTCCTCATCTCGGCCCTCACCCACCTCACAGCAGGCTCCTGTTCCCACTTGAGGGGCTTCGTCAATTCCATCCGGGCGTGTCGCCCACGGGCAGGCGCTCCCTGAGTCCCTAAGCCCCAGGGCTTGGCCCCTCAGGACTCCTCTGGCCCGCTTGTGCTGTCGAATGGCCTCTGCTTTGGCTCCACCATTTGTGGACTCAGAACAGTGGCCATCCCCAGAGGGAGGAGGGAAAACCGCAGATGCCTCACCGGCCCTTGAGTGGTGATGTCACCGTCCCCAGTGACTCATGGTTTCTCACACCCAAACTCCAAGGCCTGGGGCATATCCAAAGCCATAATGAAACTGAGGTCTTTGCCTCTTGGCCTGCTGTGTGTGTTTCTCAATTAGATTTGACAGGCCACAGTAATCATAAGAGTCGCTCTGTCTGGGAGCTTTCGTTGAGGATGCTGCAGTTTTGAACGTCTCAGAACTCAGAAGAGCCTGGGCTCCTCCACTGTGGGCTGCAGGGCTCGGGAGCCCCTGCCCACCCGCAACCCGTGGCGGCTGGCCAGCTCTCTGAATCCCACAGCAGGGTGGCCTCTGGGGCCACAACCCTCCACGCGGGTCACACGCCCCTTGACCTCATCATCCAGAGGCCTGGGTGGTTCCCTCCTCTCTGGTTCAATGCCACCTGTTTCTTACAAATTCTAACCAGTCATTGGTAGGTTAACACTAAGACCTGCCAAGGCTAAGACCTACCTGGTTTCACCTGGGGAACCTGCAGATCCCCAGCCACAGGGATGCAGACGGGAAGGTCTGAGACCTGGGAATCTGCGTTTTCTTCAGCTCCCCACCTCTGATGCAGGACCTGTCCTGTCTAGAGGGTTATCTTGGCATTTCCAGAACCTCCCAGATCATTCCATCTCTTACCCATTCCCTCACTTTCCGCAGTCTTAGGGCTCCACTCGATGTATTGCTGAGTTTTTCACCTTGTGTCCTGCAGTCCACATGGCAAAGCATCAAATGACCTCCTTCCCAACTCCTGGGGCTCCCGGTGGGTTTCCCAGTGCGCCGAGGATCACAGCCGGGAGCCTTCTGGGGAGGGGGTCTACGCTTCACCTGGCTCAGGCACAGTAGTCCCCAAGAGCCCTTGAAAAGTGCTCAGAGCTGTCCCCCGGGGTGAAGGGGAGAGGGTGGGGAGGGTCCCCAGTGGGTGGGGTCACACCCACTCACTCTGCGTCTGTGCCCCCGCAGCGGAGACCTCACCACTGGCCGGCCATGAAGTTCCGCAACCACCCCAGTCACTCCACCTACACAGAGGTTGAGCCCTCAGGCCAGGAGAAGGAGGGCTTCGTGGAGGCGGAGCAGTGCTGAGAGCGCCAGGTCTCCCTTGGAAGGGTACAAAGGAAGACCGGGGGACCTCAAAACACACGAGTCAAAGCAAAGCAGAGAAATGACTTTTCTTGGCCTCCTCTGAACACACCCTGGCTGGGAAAACGAGCCCGTGGTCTGCGGTGCCAGCGCTACAGTTTGGCCATCACACCCCAGATATTGAAGCAGGGGCGGAAAAGCCACAATAACCAGTAACAATCACCTGTGCCAGGGGTCTCCCCTTCTGAGTCTCTCAATGGTCTACTCCGGAGCTGCCTCAGAGGTCCCTTCCCACCTGGAGGTGGACAGATGCCCTGCTCCCATCACCTAATGCCCGTGTGTACGACAAAGAGAAGCACGCCCTCGATTGTAGCCTCCGCATTCCAGGGTCCATAGACTCAAGAGCAGGTCCTCATGGCTATGGATTCAGCGTATTTTGCCCCAGTTTCTGTGGTCTAGAAGTCTGGAGAAGGACTTCTCACCATCTGTTACACACAGGTATGGCTGCTCCCAGCGCTTTCAGCAAGACACTGATTGGCATGCTGGCATCCGAAGAAAGCCAAAGGAGAGAAGAGAGAACTTGTGGGCAGATTGCGTTTTTAGGCTTCGCTCCCCCAACTTGCCCTATCTGCTGAGAATCAGTTAGTTTCTGCATTGAACACGTGTGTGGCCCATGTCACGGGGGGCTTTATCCAACGGCAGCCCAGCCCACCAGGTGAGCCGTGCTGTGCGCGGCCACATCCATCAGGTGGGCTCTTCATTCCAGGGGCACGTTTGGGGGTCCATTGTCTTCATTGGCCTGGTTTTCCATCAGTGCCAGTCAATACCTCCAAAGGCAGGGCCTGCCTGATCAATACTTTGCCTCCTCTGAGCTGGAATTTTATAGCCATTAAAGAGATATAAGGTGGGGAGAAGCTTCTTGAAACATACCCAACAGGGAACTTCAGTTGGATTCTGTTGAAAAGCAAAACCTCTAGGACAATTGGGACAGGGGAAGCTGGTGCAGGAAAGAAGGACTTTATATCTGCCGGGATTTCTTGGGGCAGAGAGTTTAGGCTCCCAAACCTAATCTGGTTTTTAAGTGAGTTCTGTCCTGGACATGAGTTGGTGTTGCTTCTGAAGAGCATTTCAAATGAAAACCTATAGTTCACCCTCATTCAAAGTAAAAAAAAAAAAAATATCAGCAGCAAATAAACATTAAATCACAGGCTCCACTATCCTTTGTTGTTGTTTAGTCACTAAGTTGTGTCAGACTGTTTGTGACCCCATGGACTGTAGCCTGCCAGGCTCCTGTGTCCATGGAATTTCCCAGGCAAGACTACTAGAGTGGGTTGCCATTTCCTGCTCCAGGGGATCTTCCCAACCCAGGAAGCAGACCCATGTGTCCTGCATTGGGAGGCAAATTCTTTACCGCTGAGCCACCTGGGAAGCCCTCCACTATTCTTAGTCAGGTCCGTTTATGCATGTCACCAGCATGCTGCCAAAGAAAGAAGTTTATGTACAAAGCCTCCTGAAGTGGGGGGTGGGAAGTCTGCAAATAGCCAGGCACATACAAACACTGGACTGATGGTCTTGCAGATGCTCCATGGTTTATCCTTGGTGAGAATGCTAATAACCACTGGAGTGGGAAACATGCTGGACCTCGGCTTTCCATAGGTATCCTTCATAAACCAGGCAAGGAAGAGCTATGATTTTGAGAAATTGTATCCAAACTTGAGAAAGTAAAAAGATAATGCAACAAAGAGAATACAGAGTTCTTTTCAAGCTTCTGAAGGTATGAAACAGAGCCCTTCTAATGAAAGAATCGCAGCCAGGCACTGAAATACTCAGGGATGCCAGCACTGCTGGCTGGCAGGAGGGTGATTTTTGCCCTTGGCTGACCAACAGAGAATCTACGACCTTTGTGTGTCTAAAACAGCCAGTGAGGGAGTTCCAGCTGTGACAAGATGCAGCGCACAGCATCACAGGTCCCACTCCCAAACTCCAGCATGCTTCTTCCTAACGGGGGCTCTTCCAATCATGCTGATTCCTGAGGGAAAGAAGACCAAGAATGAAAAAATGGGCGGTGATGTGCTGAGGCCTATACTAGCAAACACTGCAGGTAGAGAAAGTTCAATATACCTCAGGCCAGTCAGAGCAAGCCTCGCTGGCCCCTGGGATAACAGTGGTGAAGGCAGTGGAGCTGTTTGTCAGCAGGTAGCCTGGTTTGTTAACAGCAAAAAAGAACTAAAGATGTGTCATTCAGAGAGGTCCCTGGCCAGTCAGAACCCCTCAAGTCAAAACAAAGCACTCCCAAGAAATAGCCAGCAGCTCACAGAATTAATGCTGGTTCTCACCTGTTCTTAGGCTCTCTCACGAGATCAAGCATCTCTCAGACCCGAGAGTTTAACTCCAAGGTTTAGAGGGGGTTCACCGGGTAGCTACAGAGAGGGACTCAGCTGCAGAGTGAATGACTGGAACGAGACATAGCTGTTTCGTGGTCAACCAGCAATGGAGTACTTTTGCGCACCATCAACCACAGATAGCTTGCAGACTTCCAGACTCCTCTGCCCCACAGGCAAACAAAATCACCCAGGAGAGCAGGTGGTCAGCAGATCCTTCCCTACATGGTGCCTTTGGGCATCCTCACAGTGAGCCCACTGGAGAGGGGTTGGATGGGTCCATGAAAGCTCATCACTGTGACAGAAAGCTTCAACCCCATGAAACAGCTGTCCATGTGGTACCCAGAAGTCAGAAGCTCTCTGGGAGGCTCTGTTTTACATCAGAACTCTTAAGAGAGTCAACAAGAAAATGAGAAAGAAATCTGCTGGCGGTCCAGAAGTTAGGACTCTGCTTCCACTGCGGTGGCCAGACAGGGAACTAAAATCTCACAAGCCACAAAAGAAAAAGAAAGAAAGAAAAAGAGAAGAAAAATGCAGAGGCCAAGTATGAGAGAGGATCCCTGGATCAGGCTGTGAGCACAACTTAATTCCCCTATAATCAGCCGCCCTTAGATTTGTGGATTTGTCCAATAAGGTCCTTGGAGGTTTCTGATTCTAGAACATGAATGCATATAAGCCCAGCCAGCAATTCCAGTACCCAGGAATGCCCCAGGTGAAGCAGATGGGGTTTCCAAGCTGGACTAACACCCCATCACCCTCCTGCCTCAATCAGATATCACCACCCATTCACCCCAGCAGGCCCCTGACTCTGGAGACTGCCTCTTCATGTCTTCAGGTCTCAGCCTGGAGCCTGAGGTTGAAAATGTCCTTTTGTCACTGTTAGAGGTTCTCGATGGGCCTATGGAAACAATTTTTTTAATTTGTGTATTTTGCCAGGACTCTCCTATGTAATGGAGCCCCTGAGTATGTATATATATTTATACAAACACACATATACATATATGTAAAATTGCTAAAAACATTGGATGAAGCTTATAGCTGTGCTCAGCCTGTAGCTAGATGTGTTATGTTAAGACAGTGGGAAAAGCTGTCAGTCAACCACACTATATGAAAAGCAGAGTATTCACTTGAGCTGTTCACTTATCTCATTGTGGACAGAGCTAAAATTGTCTTCTTTGGGTGCTGGAGCAGATTTTCTCAAAGCACTGATCAGGAGCCATACCCAGACTCCCTATATCAGGTATAGTCACAAATCAAATCAGCCTCTTTCTCTGTCTCTCACCATCTCCCATTCTCCCCTCCTCTAGGTGCCCCCTCTACAACAAAAAGACACCTGAGTTTACAGCACAATTCAAAGGATTTGGGATATGAGGGCACCGTGTGTGTGTGTGTGTGTGTGTGTGTGTGGGTGTGTGTGTGTGGGTGTGTGGGTGCAGTCACGTCCAACTCTTTGAGACCCCGTGGACTGCAATTCACCAGGCTCCTCTGTCCATGAGATTTCCCAGGCAAGATTACTGGAGTGGGTTGCCATTTCCTCCTCTAGGGTATCTTCCCAACCCAGGGATCGAACCCACATCTCCTGCATCTCCTGCACTGGCAAGTGGATTCTTTACCACTGGCTCCACCTGGGAAACCTACCTGTTTTAAATGCAATCTTTTCACATATTTAGCGTGAGAATTCTTTGCACAGATTCCCAGTGTTAATAATAAAAGGCAACATTCTTTTATAACTTCTGCGTGTGCAAAATTAAGTGCAAAAGATTTTGAGTGACATTATGCAAGACATCCCACAGCCCTTAGTACTGATGACTGCCTTCTCTGAGGACCTACCCTAAGGAGCAGAGGAAGAGCCTCCAGCAATCTGCCAAGCAGGCGTGTTCTTCCCAAACTCCTGTCCCATCTCAAAGAGAAACAGCCTGGAAAGAGATTCTAGCTATTTATTTATCAGAGGTGTGTAAGTCCCTGGAAGTAAACTACTTGGGTTTCTAATCTACTATCTCGAGACAGAAAATAAATCTGCTAAATTGATGCTGCCACATTTCTGAAGATTTTGCATTTGAACCACCTTAGCAGCCTCACCGTGGGTTTTTATTACTTCGCAATTTTGCTCACAAAACATGGTTAAGCAAATCAAAACAGAAAGAGGAAAAACTTGAACTCCTCATGGCCAAACTCAGCTATGCCAAATTTCAGGCTCCAAACAAGCCAGCTTATAAATAAACATGTTTTGTTTGCCAAATAGAGAGGAGTATATTGGAGAAGGCAATGTGGATTGATGAGAAAGCCCTGGGCTACTCCATGGTGCTTCAGAAGGTGGGAGCTTCGGACACTGCCCTGCCCTGCCCCTGAGAAGCTGTGTGTTGTTGGCCAAGTCATCCAACTTCTCTGGGCCTCTGCAAAATAAGGGAGTGAGAGGACTAATTGATCTAAGGAGAGGATGTTTTCCTCTCTTTAGCAAATATGCTTATCTGGCTTTGTTCTTTCCAATTCACAAGCAGCTTGAATGGAAGCATCCCTTTGGCTTCCATTATCCCTGGTGTCTCAGAGGATAAAGCGTTTACATGCAATGCAGGAAACCTGGGTTCAATCCCCGATT